AACCCAGAAGACAGAAATCTTCATACTCATCGCCCTGATAAAGGAGGCAGTATGACCTCTGAAACGTTGGTTAACATCGACCAGACTACACAGCGCAACAACCCAGAAGACAGAAATCTTCATACTCACCGCTGTGAGAACCTCAAGTCTTACAACTAGAAATTCATTCAAATATCAAACCGCAAAACATAAGCTGTCATGGAAGTCCTTTTCTGTGGATTACCATGCACAACCTCCGTCAGGACAGATGTTCTCTGGCAAAGAACAATTTTCTACGCACCCGGAATCTGAGATCTCCGATGGGTGGTAGAGCATATGGGATCCTCTGGAAACCCAAAATATGACGTCCCTTTCTGGTGGTGAAATGCTGACCCCTGAGCGCACCCTGCTTCACGAACACCTGCAGCTCTGGGTCCTCTTCTGCGCTGTTCAGGTACACGATGACTATGAACCCCACGCAGATAACCAGGAACAACAACGCACAACCACTGCCTTCGCGGAATTTGTTCTTCCACATCGCGCTCCTTCTGTGTGTCTGTCTCGTCACCCCCATGGGTTGCCTTATCTGAGGTATCACGTGACTCTCGACCTTAATTCTGTAATGAGAGTAAAACGCGATTATAATGTTTTGGCTGTCCGATCCAAGACATTAAATTGCACGAATGAATTACGATGGCACTGAAGGCCAACCCACGAGCATATTATCTTGAAAGTCTCATCCTTTCTCACGAGGCGAATTCACAATGGCATATATTTCGTTTGTTTTATACTTTTCTGGCTTAATTGCACTAAGAAATTTCGTTGTATATATAGGTCTTTGTCTGTGCGATATGCCATGAGAAGATGGCTGTCTTCGGGGTTGTTGCGCCGTGAGAACCATAAGGTTACTTCTCTTTACCAATGTTCAAATATCTGCTTATAACCAAAGTTGGAGCAGTTATAAATGTAACATTACTTATCAATATCTTCCTTCGAGCATGTGGTTATGGGCACTGTCTACTTCAAGAGCAGTTGTACTGTATTTTTTGGTCAGTTTGATAACCTAATTATCCTTATTCCCATAAGGTTAGAATATTAAGACGTCGACTATATGAAACAGAAGATTCGCGAATGGGCTACACATTGATTGTCGAAACCTGTAGAAAGATGTTATTATCAGGGCACTGCAACGACCTCTGAGACGTTGGCAAACTTCTACCAGAGTACACAGCGCTATAAGCCAGAAGACAGAAATCTTCATATCGTTAATTGGTTTGTTTTACAGTTAGTATGAAATGTCTGTCTCACACTGACTGACGTACATCAGAACTCATGGCAGATGAATTAACATATGACTGACAAATTACATGATTTCTTATTGTCATTTGATATTTTTGGGGTGATTGAATAATTACGAATGAGACGAGCAGGGAAACAAATTGATTGTGATTTAGGGCAAAGAGTTTTAAGTGAAGAGACCAATTATATAGCCCAGACCTCTATGGAGAGATACAATTAAAAATATTTCTTGTGGAAAAAGGCTGTGAAGACGAGAACTAGATTTGAGCACCCGAGACATTAGATACGTGTTAAAGGAACCTTTATTTTCCGAAATATGACAGAGCAGAAATTAAAGTAGCCTTGCTGATTCTAAATATATAAAATAATTTAGAGGTTTCAAGCTACGGCCTTCATTTCTCAATTATTGGAACCGGAAATCAAAAGCTCTCCTAAATTTATTAGATTTGGTATAAATTGGGCAGTGACTATATTTTAATACAAAAAGTAGTCATTATTTTCCAAAGAGACCTTCATGTTTGATGACGATTATCATAAAACGGTGGTTCTTAACCTGTGTGCCGCGGTACACAGGTCTCCCGCGATCTTTTGCCAAGTGTACCACGAGGGTTTGATTAGAATATGGCATGTGAATTTCGAGAATGGTTCTGCCTAGTTGAGGAAAAATTCCCAGAAGAATTAATGTCAATAGAAAGTTCTCTGGACACTCCAATCATGGCTGCTTTGCGGAAAATATTCTGCAACAGCTACACCGAGAACACAGAATCGGGTCAATGAAGCCACTGAGGACATCGTGCAGATTTCGAAAGTCTTAAACCTTAACCGTGGGAGTGTTTATTATATTTTGCTGTACACTCCAAAAAATATTTTATACCGATATTTTAATAATTTTCATTACAATGGAGCCCCCTTTTCGGAATTTTTACGCAAGAGCTCAGGGACTTATCTTTAAAAATATTGTAAATAATCAGAATTCCATTCATGGCTATGTCAGTTTTCCTTATTCCAAAAAAGAATGAAGGGTTTTATATACTCACACTTTAAATAAAGTAAAATAAGTTCAATTGTCTTTCTAAAGAAGGAAATGAAGAAAAATCAGCATGTTTATCTTTTTCAGAACATAAACAGTAACAACGCCGGGTCGTTTATGGAGACAACAATATTTATTTACTGTGATCATCTGTGCATAATTACGTAACGAAACCGAATGCTGTTTCTTAGTGGTAAATAGTTAGGATATTGGGCGACAGGTGGCACGACGCCTTGAATTTGTTCAATTGCTGGCAATTTCCTGTCGTTCCCTTCAGTTCAAAGCGTCTGATTTTATCAAACGTCTGCTGGCATCGATTAACAGCTTGTACAGGGCAAGTTAACTTTATGCTTTGAGACATTTTCGTTACAGGTTGGTATTATCTGTGGTAACCAGTAATCGTAAACTACTGTAACCGCGTAATTCCTACATTCTGCAACAGATGGCTCTAACAGTTATCAGCGATTTGGATCAGACACAAACCACCTGCGGTTCATGATTCACAGTAGAAACCTTTATTTGGGATGGAGTGGGGCAAAAGTTTGAAAACAAGTGAGATTCAAAGTTCCAATGAAGGTGGCTGCGTTCTGGTAGAAGTTTACGAATAGTTCAGGGGTGCTTGCTGCCTCTGAAGCGTCAGTAAACTTCTACTAGAACAAATGGTGCAACAACCCAGAGGACAGTCATCTGCAGAACATTACGAGTTTGAAGTAGAAATTCATATATTCACATAGATATATTCATAAGATATTGTAATACATTTTGAATATTTATAAAAAATATTAATTTACAGTATAAGACAATGATGTCTGTCTAATGAATACTTTAAGTATTTGCTTCCAGAATTGGGAACATATGGAAAACATACTCCATACACGCAGAAGAAGGCAATGGCAAACCACTTCTGGATCATCTGCCAAGAACGTATATGAACAGGTCCCAGTCCGAGAAAAGGATGGAAGGATCCTGTTCATATGGACCTGTCCTCAGACAGAACACTAAATTAAAAAAAAATATATTCAGAAATAGCCACGGTGGTCCAGCGGTTAGAACGCTGGCCTTGTAACCCTGGGGTCTCGGGTTCGATTCCCGGCGGTGCCCGAATTTATAACTTGTGTTGGGCAAGGCCGTGGTCTAGGCAACACGGAGTTTTCCTCCGGGGGCTTCCCCGGTTTCTCCGGGGCATCCCAACAATTAGCCCGGATTTATAACTTGTGTTGGGCAAGGCCGTGGCCTAGGCAACACGGAGTTTTCCTCTGGGGGCTTCCCCGGTTTCTCCGTGGCATTCACACACAGAAGAAGGCAATGACGAACCACTTCTGGATCATCTGCCAAGAACGTATATGAACAGGTCCCAGTCCGAGAAGAGAAAAGGATGGAAGGATCCTGTTCATATGGACCTGTCGTCAGACAGAACACTAGATAAATAAATAAATATGAAATATATTTTTGTGAAATTTGCTTGGTCATCATTTTACGACTGGTGACACTGAACATCAGGTTTTGTGAACTGGTTTTACTTTCGTTGTGTTTTTAAAGAAATATATCGTTTGTACTGGAAGTATGAAAACTGTCATCATTAAACTGCGACATAGGTTTTACTCTCAAATAGTTCAATAGAATGGGAATTTCAATGTTTGAGTCGTTCATTAGGTAAAAATGTGAAGGTTACGACACATTTCTGTTCACGCTGGTATCACACTTGTTTCAGTAATGTGTTTTGTGTGTTCAGCAACTTCTTTGATGCAATCGTTTGTGGTCTCGTAGTGAGCCTTCCACCTTCGTTTCCCTCGGTAGAGTTTTCTAACTAGAACACTGGATTTGATACCTGGTAATATATGGACTTACGTAATGGAAGTTACGTAATTTGTTACAATTTGACGTTGGATGTTCTTTCCATAAAACATCAGTTCAGAGACGTGATACCCGCTTTCTTTATTTTCAGAACATTCTTAGCCCCAGAATAAAATGGAAGGTTATTAAGGAGATCATGCTCCTACTTGACTCAATTTTACCCTAAAGATTGTGACAGTAGGTTCCTATTAAACTGCTAAGCCATCTCAATCCAGTTGATCCTTCCAAATCTCCTTTCTCTTCAGTCGTCTTTATATT